GAGCTTTGTCATACAATGATTAAACCATCAAGAAAAAATAAACTTTTTCTTAATTTTCTTTAACTTTCTAAGGCTGAAGCTGATGTTCGATAATGCTCTTTATCTTTTAATTTATAGCTGTTCCTTAGCTGCCTTTTTTTAAGTTTACACAAACCCACAGGTCTTACACTCCCATAAGGCCTGAGAGGCAGCATGACCTAGAGAAAAAGCCTGAGATCTGGACTTGGTCTTGAATCTGGGCTCTGTCCCGGGCCCTTATTTCCTTATGTATGAGATGAGGGATTAGATAACCCTAAATGATCTTAAAAGATATCTGTACATCTTCTAATGACTCATACCTTTGAGGTTTTCTGTACCTCCTCCTTCCCTGGAGGCCTGATTTCGGAGGGATTTGTTATTTATAATACCTGCCTAAGGGGCACCTGTGGCTGTCACTTGTGTACCTGCCTGCCTATTCCCTGGGCTCAGAGAAGGACCCCCAAATCATTCTGTACTACATTAGGAACCTAAGGCAAGTTGTATGCATTTACAAATTTAATTTTCTTTAAAAATACAAGTGAAACATTCACAATGGGCCAAAAAACGCATACTGACATACAGACCTTATTTTTGAATGTCACACAAGGAAAAAGAGGCTCCGAGTTAATGATTAGGAAACAAAGACTTCCCAGATGTGATTTGGGGGAACACTGGCTCTGAAAAATTAATAGGTGTTATTTGAACAGGGAGTTTTTGACTTGTCAGGGCTTTTAATATGCTAATGTGTGTGTTGAATTTTTTAAAAGACTTTGGGTAATGGAGTGTTTCTTAAATTTGTTTGCTTTTGGAGCCCCCCCTTTATAGAACACTTCATTGGGTCTAGTGTTCCAAAGAACATGTTATGGGAGATTTCGAAACCAACTGTTAGGTCTGCAAAATTAATTGAATGCCAGATCTGGCACATAAGCCAAAGGAGAAGAAACTCAGTTGCATTTTCCTCAAAAGAGGAAAAACGCAGAATATGCCTTCTATTATTCTAAGCAAAATTGTTCTTTATGTTTTCTATTTTGAATTATATTTTTTACGCTTTTGCTGTTCTGTGTTTTTGTAGCGGTGACAAATCTTAGAATTATGCTAACCATTCATAGTTTGTGGGACTTCTAAAAATTTTCTTAAAAACCAACCAATATTTCTTTATGAAGCTTTTTACTGTCTTGCTCACAATAAGCTTTGAAAAATAGTTGATGAATAAGTGCTTTGTTGGGTCTTAGGGTATTGCTATTTATCCATATTTAAGTATTTAAGATCAGAGAAATACTAATTTTTGAGAAAACATACACATCTTCACAGTATTTATTTTAAATCTAAACTCTAGAATTAGTGATCTCTCTAAACTTTATTAATTGGTGATTTAAAAAAGTCTTCACATGGATTTGCTATTCATAATATTCTCAAAGATTTCTGTTGGAAAATGAGAAAGTTTAGGGTTCTTATTTGATCCTCCCTCATGATTAGTTGACTTAGCTCTCATTTCAATCCTCAATAGTTTTGTCATTATAACAACTGAGTTTAGTAGCCAAAGAATAGCTGCCAAAAGCTTTCATTCCATTAAATTCCCTACTTTGGTGTCGTAGATTTTCTCATGTAAGTTTCTGGACAGAAGAGAACATCCTGTCTCATGATGCTTAGAAAGTTTTTCCCTGTTTTGAATCGAGTTTGGTAGTAATGAGAGTTCCAGCACTATGCGCTTGTTTTATATTTTATAGGTTCCCCCTTTCCACTGTCCCCTCCACCTTCCTCTCTTTCTCCTGCCCCAGCCTCCCCCTGGCTAGAGGGTAGATGACTGGCTATTTAAATCAAAAAATTAAGTCTGGATTGAGACGGTACTACTTTATATGTATTTTTTTGATTTTTTCCTTATGTAAATTGAATGTGTTTTAGCCAAATTAACTTGGCTCTTTGTTTTTATTCCATCTTCTCCTTAGCTCCTCTTTTAACTAATTTCCCTACCAATGACAAAATAGCCAGTCTTCTAAAAACGAGAACATTTTCCATTTCTGTACCATATTAAGCATGAGCAGTTAATTTGAATGAGGTGCTAATAATTTAAATTTTTTAAAACTAAACTTCATTTACCTTCAGTGCTTAGTCTTAATGTACCTTAGTTAATAGTCAGTATTTAATATGTGGACACAAGTGACCTGGTGCTGCTTAATCATTTTTCCTAACGATTTGTTTCTAAGAAAGGTGACACGGTTACAGTAGCAGGCGCTTGATTTTGACATCAATAAATGTTGCATGTTTTAAAAGTCATTGCAGCTGAAAATGATAGTGTTTCGCTCCCTTTTAATACTGATGTTGGGTGTGGTCCCTTAAAGTAGTTATGAATAATGCCTATTGGTATTTTGCCATAGTTTAGTAGATTCTGTATAAAAAGCTGTTGCTTCTGCTTAACTTGCAGAAATGTTTAAATTTAAAATAGGTTATTAGTGGAATCGTAATTGTTAAACTGCATTTTACCTTAATTGTTAACAGTCTCAAATCAAACGGATTTTATAGTAAATGAAAGAAAGGGAGTTAACTAATATTTCTAAAGACTTACTCATTGATACATCTCACTTAATACAGAATCCTTTTTAAAAAGCATTTTTAAAAGACCCTAAAAAATATGGCCAAATGGTATTAAAATAAGTATATCACTTTATTGTACGTATCACTATTATATGTATAGAAGACATGGATGTCTAGGGCAAGTTGCTTAATGTCTCTTCAGTAAAATGATTGTCTCTAACTCAGGGTTATAATGAGGATTACATGAATTAACGCTTATAACTCACTTAGGAGGCTTGAGTACTCTATAGCTGTTAGCCATTACTTTATTATTATATATTTATGTTTTTAAACATATATACAAATAAAACATATAAATTTTATTTATATATATTTAAATCACCTAGTTTTGTCATAGTTGAGTGGTATATTTAAACAACAATGGGGATTATTAGATTTTATGTAGAAAAGACTATTGCTGGTTCCTATGCAGTAGCTATTTGAGAGAGTAAATAAACGGACGAGTCCTTTCGAAGTTACTAAATTTAAATTTAATCTTTAAATGTAAAATTTCAGAATAAAATAGGGTATTTTCTAAACTGTGATATTGGGATTAAAAGGAATTCTTAAAGATTGTGGAGATAGTTAGAGAGTGTTACTTGTTCCTTGGCCAAGGGTCCTGTCTTACTCAGGAGTGGTTGGAGTTGGCTATACCAGCTGTTGACTGTCGATAAGATAATTGCATAGTGCCCACTAGCCTGAGTACCAGGGGCCAGGACAGTACCTGTTACACCTCTTTGCTCCTCGTTTATCTTATAAAGAAAGTGAAAATCCAATTTACTAAACTTCTGCAAGTGATCAGTATGTGTAGAAAAAATATGTCATTTTTTCCCAAGAATGTTTTGTGGTCAAGGCATTGCAAGTATTGTACGTAAATACTTCACTTTTATGGTCTGGATTTATTCCTAATAAAAACATGAGAAATGCCCTTTTTTGGAAGGACTTAAAAATGTTGACAGGCCTGATTCAGCTGCCTCTTCTTACAGGTATTTCTTCTGTGGGTCCCCTCCTCTTTATTTCCACTCTAGTTGTCCATGTTCTTGTTCTAATTCACATTTACCCAGAATAACCTGGCTGCTCTTACCTGTAGTCTTTGCCCTTTTCTCCCCCAGCCTGTGGAGACCATTGTCTTAACAGTCTTCCTAAAGGTCATTCTTCTATTCAAAAACCTCTGTGTAATTTATTGCTACAGTAAGAACAGATTCCTCCGATCGTCCTGGAAGGGCCCCTTCAGAAAGGCCATGGCTTCCCCCAGTGCATGCGCGCACACACACTCTTCACGTTTCAAACCTAATATCCCCCTGCTTTCAGTTTGAGACTTTAGACAACTGAACCGTGACAGTTTTCTACACTCTTCAGTTTTACAAATCCTCCCAGTCACTGGGGCTTGATTTCTAACACGGATTCTTGCACTGTTTCTTCATGTGTAATGGCTCACTTTGCTAAAGCTTGTAAGAAGAATCAAGCGTCTCTTCTTTATATGACAGTGATTTTGTAGAGTCTCATCTCACATAATACAACTTGAGCTTGTTAAAAGCAAGGACTGTACCCTATCATTTTTATCCATGTTATAGCTCATCTAAGACAGATCTGACTATAAAACTTGCCACCATTCATCACAAGTATTGATTTTGCTGAGTATTACCTACATATTTAATTAGACAAGTCAAGATTGGACCTGTGTCAAAATTAAAGGATACCATTTCGCTAGCTTTCAGATATTTTTTATTTTAAATCTTTTAGCGAATTTCAGTCTTAATGGAGATTAAGAGAAGGCAAAGCTTGGGAGGGAAGATGTTGGAAGTCCTTTTCATTGCCCTTTAAATAAATCTAAAAGAGCTGTCATCAGAGCAAACTTGATTTAAAATTGGTCGTGGTACAGTTAGGTCAGGAGAGAATATGGACTCACATTCTCTCCCTTATCCCAGCCCTTTGCCTCCTGTTTCTCTTCTCTAAAATCTGCAAGATGCTACAAAGAAGTAAAATTTAACTTTAAATAAATTATAGATCCCTTACTAATAAAAATTAACTCCATGGTTTTGACAACTAACAGTTGCAATATATTTGGTATTTATAGCTTTTTCTTTTTCCTACAGAAAACCATAGGCAAAATTGCAACATGTTTGGAATTACGAAGTGCAGCTTTACAGGTAAACACAGGTTTTTTTCCTGCTTTCTGATATAAGAAAAAAGCATTATGAACTATTCTAATAAACTTTAAGCATTAATGCTAGAAGCAGTATTGTCTCTGAAGAGATTTCTAGCAATAGGAATTCATGGGTTAAACTCCTATTAAAAGATTTAGTTTATATTTAATAAACTGTAGAGAGAAAAGATATAACTTCAGTTTTTTGTTATTTTTAGCCCAAATGTTCCAAAATATAAAAACAAACAAAAACCAGTTTGGGCTTCTGCTTCCAGGTCGGAGCCATGGCGATGGCAAATTCAAGCCCTGTCAATCCCATGGTGTTCTTTGATGTCAGCATTGGCGGCCAGGAAGTTGGCCCCATGAAGATAGAGCTCTTTGTGGATGTTGTGCCTAAGACGGCCGAGAATTTTGAGCAGTTCTGCACTGGAGAATTCAGAAAAGATGGGGTTCCGATAGGATACAAAGGGAGCACGTTCCACAGGGTCATAAAGGATTTCATGATTCAGGGTGGGGATTTTGTTAATGGAGATGGTACTGGAGTTGCCAGTATTTACCAGGGGCCATTTGCAGATGAAAATTTTAAACTGAGACACTCAGCTCCAGGCCTGCTTTCCATGACAAACAGTGGTCCCAGTACAAATGGCTGCCAGTTCTTCATCACCTGCTCTAAATGTGATTGGCTGGATGGGAAGCACGTAGTGTTTGGAAAAATCATTGATGGACTTCTAGTGATGCGAAAGATTGAGAATGTTCCCACAGGCCCCAACAATAAGCCCAGGCTCCCTGCGGTGATCTCACAGTGTGGGGAGATGTAGTCCAGAGCAGGACTGATCAGATATCCTGAAGACTTTTCCTCTTCCATCACAGAAAACTACTTCATATGAAAACAAACCAACAATATGCTGTGTTTAGCATATAGCTTATTTTATCTTTCTCTTACGATTTGAATAGTTATAAATTCTGTGTCTTAGTTTTCTATTTTATTTTATTTTTTCTATTTGAGAGAGAGAGAATGAGAGATAGAGAGCACAGGAGGGAAGAGGGTCAGAGGGAGAAGCAGACTCCCCGCTGAGCAGGGAGCCCGATGTGGGACTCGATCCCGGGACTCCAGGATCATGACCTGAGCCAAGGGCAGTCGCTTAACCAACTGAGCCACCCAGGCGCCCCTTAGTTTTCTATTTTAAATGTTGTGACTATTTTGTCCATAACATATTTTAAGCAAAAACTGGCATTGTGTTGCTTATCTTAACTTTGGTGATATCCTTTGTTAAACAGAAGTTCTAAATTTTGATGAGGTCAGAATTATCAGTCTTTTTTCTTATGGCTTTTGTGGTTTTTGTCTTGTTTTAGGAAGGTCCTTACTATCTCAGATCATAATGTCTTTTGTATTTTTTCTAATATTTCTGTGGTTTTATTTATGTACTTTAAAAATCACCTAAAATCTAAAAAAAAAAAAAAAACAGTTTGGGACTTTTTCTTTTTTTTTAAGATTTTATTTATTTGTCAGAGAGAGAGCACAAGAGGGAGAATGGCAGGCAAAGGGAGAAGCAGGCTGCCCCGCTGAGCAAGGAGCCCGATGCGGGACTTGATCCCAGCACCCTGGGATTATGACCTGAGCCGAAGGCAGACCTTAACCAACTGATCTACCCAGGCGTCCCGGGACTTTTCATTTTCTACTTTGAAAGCATGAAATGGATTCCTTTATTTTGTCCACTTTTTGAATATTTAGTTCTTGCCACTTAAAAGACATAGGGTATAGTGAAATCTTTGTAATAAAAAGATGTAATATGCATATTTTAAATTCAGTCCACACAGTCTCAAGAAGAATTTAAACTGGAGGACCTGAAGAAGCTAGAACCAAGTAAGTTTTATTTTATATTTTTAGTGGTATTCCTTTAGAAAACTACTTAATTCATTATAGATATTAAGACTATTTAGCATAGGTGCTTACTCATTTCTGTTCCTACCTAGTCCTATGTGATTTTTTTTGTGCTTTTATAATTTCTGTAATATTTATAGTAATTATTCTGTTCACCGTTATAGAATATGAAAAATGATCCAGGTTCTACCTCATTCATATGTTTCAGCCTTTGTTTTAATCACTTTAATAAGACTCTAATTACTTTGGTAAGCATTTACAGGAGAGTTTACTGGAGAGTATAAAGTTACAGCTCTTGATGCGCGTTTATACTACATGTCCTTGAAAACTACAGTCTAGCTGTTTGCAGTGCTCTACAAAAGATGTCCTTGTTGTCCCCATTTTCCTGTCCCTTCTTGAAAGCTTTTTTGAAGTAAACATTTGCTTCAAATGTTTTGGTGGTTAGGATGTGCCAAATAAGATTTTCTTATTGGTTCACATGAATGTTCTCTTAGAGGAATGCTTTCTCATTGTTCATATGAATGTTCTCTTTGCAAAGTAGGCAAAGGCACAAGTGCTGAATATCACCACGGTCCACCACATTTTTATCACCCCAGAAAGAAACCCTGTCTTGTTTAGCCCACACCTGCTTAATTAATGCTTAACCCACTCCTCAATTCCCAGCCCTAGGCAGTCATTAATCCACTTTCTGTCTTGTGAATTTGCCTGTTCTGGACATTTTTTATAAAGGGAATCATATCACATATGGTCCTTTGTGACTTAATATATGTAAGATTATTTTAAGAAAAGCATATTGATGGCTTTTAGAAAAGATTAGCTTCAGTGAGAATCTCTCTTGTGTAATAGTTTTAAAGATTATAATGTTTGATTTTTTTTTAATGATAAGAATAATTAGGATTTTGGCTTTCTGTTTAGTCACAGTTTTCTATTAGTTTTTGTTTTTCGGTGTGTTTCCAAATAAAATTTTAGAGTGTTACAGATTTCTCCTATTGCCTTGTAGGATCTTTCATTGATATTAATGGTTACAATTACCATTAACCCGAATACTCAAATAAGTCCATTCAGTTGCAGTTTGCTAACTGCATGACCTTACAGCTTGTAAATGCCTGAACTGGGTTTTAACCAGGGTTCTAAGTGACCCCAGAGCCTGTGTTCCTGCCACTGTATTCTGTTGTGATACCTATAATGGTGCAATATTAACATCAATCCTAAATATCATGGGTTTCCAGTTCAAGCTCTTGAGAGATTATTGACCCATGTATTAGTGGCAGATTGGACTAAAATCTGCATTAGTCTTCTATTTCTTGCTTTTTGTTTGCTTGTTTTTGTTTTTTTAAGATTAGGGGTGGGAATGGAAAGGAAAGATAGTATTAGAATTTATTTTGTTATATTTTGAATTTATATAGTGCTTCTCATTGGGACCTCTCCCTTCATCATACTTAGTTAGCTTTTTAGGTGATTTTAATTTGCTATTGCCTTTTAAAGGGATGTAAATATGTAGATTATATCTCAGGATATGCTCTGTAATTTTGCATCTCTCAAAGCTAGGCAGTTCTTAGGACTTATTTTATCAGAATTAAACATTTTCCACAAATTGGTATTTGAATAGATTTCAGATTAAGTCAAGCTAGTTTCTGCCTCTTTTTATACTGTAAGGAAAGGAAAATTAATATGTGGGACTTGGTTTATTCTGCTAATGTAGGTTTTAAGGTTAAAAAAAAGTCTCTTGATAATCCTGTCTGAAACTAGTATAAGTAAGATTTTGAAAGTACTATTTATTTCATTTTCTGATGTTAATCCACCTTTCAGATGGGAAGAACTTACTCATTTTACCCACCAGAACAATGGAACAAGTCAGCCACAGAAGCAGAACACACTTTGTTGACAGTGTGTCTGTCATTTTCAGAGTGTGGCCTTCAGGAGGGTGGCAGGCCATGCTCTGTGAGAGTGGGCTGGGAGTGCTGACTTTTTCCTGGCAGAGGTGCACCATCAGATGTCAGCTGTGGGGTGAGCCACGTGGTCCCCAAACCATGATGGGCTCCGTGCTCATGATAATACCTTCCAGGAAATTACAAGCCAAACCAGTACCTGCCTCAGGGCCTTTGTTGTTGTTATAAAGATGTTATTTTTAAGTAATCTCCCCACTCAACGTGGGGTTCGAACTCACAACCCCCGAGATAAAGAGTCGCAAACTCCACCGACTGAGCCAGCCGGGCGCCCCTCTAGCCTGTTGTTTAACACTTGGAAAGCCCTCACCCCCGTGCTGCTTCTGGACACATCCTCTCATTCCAGGGTATGGCTCACTTATCTTCCAGCAAGTTACTTTTCTCTCCACCTTAGCCGAAGTTGTCCCCCTGCTCCACTTACACTCCTGACCCTGTCGTTGGCGATGCTAACCACAGTCTAACAGTACCTTGTTAATTTGTTGCTTTACTTACTGTTTGCTTTTCCTGACTAGAGCCTAAGATCCATAGATGAGAGCAAGAACCCCCTGTCTTGATCACTGCCATATCTTTAGCACCTAAAACAGGGACTGGAACACGGCGGGCAATCGGTGCCCATTTGTTGAGAGGAAGAAAGAGAAAGGAAAGATGGGGGTAAGAGCTGGAGGGCAAAGAGCATAAGGACGAACGAGGAGCTAGACCCAGGCCCATACCTCCCGCGCTGAACCACTCAGCAGACCGAGTGCCTATAACAGAAGTCTGAAAAACACCTCTGACTCCTGTTGGAATCAGTCATAAAAGCGCAGCCTACACTCTGGGATTTCCTGCTTTGGGATGACAACATATACGCCGCAGCTCTTTTATCTCTAAACTACAGCACTCTGAAATGAGGCTGAGTAAGTTGAGTACAAAATCATGGGAACTTTTTGGATTGCTCAGTTAATGCCATTACTTTACCTTCATGTGATTGCAGATAGTTACTGAAGACCCATGACACCAGATACGAAGCACTAAATTACATACTTCTAGTAACTCTATAAGGTATTCATAGTAGCTCTCTAAATGTAGGCAGAGTTATAGAACGTCTTTCTTTTTTTTTAATTGAAGTTTTTTTTTTTTTTTTTTTAAAGATTCTATTTGTCAGAGAGAGAGAGAGAAAGAGCACAAGCAGGGGAAGTGGCAGAGGGGGAAGCAGGCTCCCCACTGAGCAAGGAGCCCGATGCGGGACTCTGTCCCAGGACCCTATCCCAGGACCCTGGGATCATGACCTGAGCCGAAGGCAACCGCTTAACCAACTGAGCCCCCCAGGCGCCCCTAGAACATCTCTCTTAAAGTTTACATGCCAGAATGTAATTATGGACCATACACTAATGCAGAAGGTGGTGGGTGGTGGGTGCCATGTTATCTGAAGCCTTCTCTTGAGGGTAAATCCCTCTTTGTGTATTTGTCTATGCATGTATGTAGATGTATGTACCTATGTATGTAATAAACTATCGTAAATGGCATATGGAAATTGTAACCAGTTTTATCTAATTTTGCCAGTTTTAAGGAGTTGAGGAGAAATATAATCAGGACATAGACCAGAATAATCTCACGTACCTCTAATTGGTTATCTTTGAACCAGTCTTGTAATTGAAGTACTCCAGGAAGGAGATCTTTTCTTTCTCTGCTGCCCTGTGTCTCACCTAGGACCTTGTACATACAACTGTTTTGGAGTTTATTTTCTGTGAGGGCTCTGAGATTCTGGAACTTACTTTCCTTGGAAATCTTACAAAGTACTGGTACCTGAAGTCTACTATGGATATTTTCATTTTGCTAAGACCTTCAATGGACACATGCGTCGTGGGAGTTTTTTTAAGTATTAATATGCATAGTAAAAGTGATTAAAAATCAGTTATTTCTAATAAAATTTTTTATTTTGATTCATGGAAGAATTTGTGTCTTTCTTTCTGTTCTTATTCTAGTCCTAAAGAATATTCTTACGTATAATAAGGAATTCCCATTTGAC